TTTGACAGATTACTGCTTTTGAATACATCTGCATACATCGATAGAGGAGTTACATACTTATATAAAAAATCGCATCTAAACAATCAGAGGTATGGAAGATATACTTTATATGACACCAATCTAAGTGATTTTCACCGCTATGTGATCGGTATGTAAACCGGTAACACAATTTATTGGGTTTAGTTTCGTACATAAAGGAGATATATGGCAAAAACTGGTATCTTAACAATCAGTGCTATAGGAGATAAAGCTTATAAAGCATAGATTTTGACGATTTTCTCAGTAGACTTTGTATTATTATTTATAAAATATCTTACGAAATTTATCGGGTTTAGCTGTTCAAATAAAGGAGTTTTACAGTAAAATCCCATATCTGAACAATCAGATGTATGGAAGATATATGTTGTAGTCACCCGATCTTTGTTATTTTCAATGTACGTATTCTGTTAATAATGAGTGAAAATGGTGCGAAATTTCATGTTCCTAGCTGCATAAATGGAGGAGATATGATAAAAGACCTCATATCTGAACAATCAGTTGTATGGGGGCTGCAGGTTATAGTGACCCGATCTTCGTCTTCTGCTGATAATGAGTGAAAACAGCGCGAAATTTCATGGTCCTAGCTAAATAAATGGATGAATTATAACGAAAAATCTCATATCTGAACAATCAGTTGTATGGGAGCTATAGGTTATAGTTATCCGATCTTTTTAATTTTCACTGTAAGTTTTCTGTTGATAATTATTGAAAACAGTGCGGAATTTCCTGTTCCCAGCTTTATAAATGTTAAGTATATAGTTATAACGGAAAATTTTATATCTGAACAATCAGTTGTATGGGAGCTATAGGTTATAGTGACCCGATCTTTGTAATTTTCACTGTAAGCATTCTGTTGATAATGGGTGCAAGTGCTGCAAAATTTCATGTTCGTAGCTGCATAAATGGAGAAGTTATAACGAAACAATTATAACGAACAATCAGTTGTATGGGAGCTATATGTTATAGTGGTCCGATTCTTCCGGTTCCGACAAATGATTAATACATTATAAAAATACACCCACCTACCAAATTTGATCCGGATATCTCGAAAAATGAGAGACTAGATTGCATACAAACAGACAGACAGACGGACAGACGGACAGACGGACAGACGGACATGGATAAATCAACTCAGCTCGACGTTCTGATCATATAAGTATACATTTTAATGGGTCTATCTCTTTTTGTTCTGGTACTTACAAACATCGGACCAAAGTTATAATACCATTTCATGCTCATGAAAGGTATAATAAATGGCGAAATGGAAAGTAAAATTGTCTAGGAGTTATTATTTAATGACAGTGGCAAGCGGCAGCCGAGGCGCAGTGGCTGATTGGCTGTTGGCTTTGTGCCCAATGATGTGATGTCGTTTTTTATCTTGTTGCCGCACAGGTTTGAAATGTTTTAAGGAGTGAAGGAAAAAGGGTACAGCTTTGAACTGAAATTGTTTTCAATTGCTCTGCATTATTTGCTTGCAAGAATTATTTTTAATGAGTATAATTATTGTGCTGACTTAAGAGCCATGAGTTCAAGCACACAAAGCAGCACAAAAGTTCAACTATGCGGAAAGGAAAGGTAATGGACCAAGGTTGACATTGTGCAGCCAGTTCTCGAAATAAGAAAGAGACACAAGGAATGCCAGGGTACACCTTGACCGCGAGGCCGCAGTTCTAGCGTAAGACAGTCATTTCCAGAAATTTCTGCGAAACCGCGTATGTGAGGTTGCTGAAATTTTAACGGAAAGAGCGAAAACTGTCTTATATCGTCGGTTAGGTCTTTTCAGGCTAATTATATAAATTGATATTCTGGTATGAATCGAGGAGGCTTGGTGTTATGAGCTTCCGGTCATCAAATATCATTTTTGACACAAATCTAAGTTACATTATGTAGATTCAGACTGCCAGCATTCACGTTGCCATTTCGACCAAATGCTTAACTAGAGTTAAGAGCTGAATAAGTTCCAAGATTTTAGCATGGCGTGATCGGCAAGATTGGACAAGAGACACCGCGACCTGAAAGAGTTTTAGGATATCTTAAAGAGAGAGAGTTACTAACCCAGTGTGGCCAAGATACCCTCGGCCTCTCTAATGAATCCTAAAACGGCATTGGTAGGCGAATTCCTTGTAACAAAGCATTCGACCTTTAAAGCTTTAAAATGGGTCAATCTTTGTCTGGCCAAAGCCGAACAGTGACAGAGTATATGCTCTGAAGTTTCATCATCTTCAAAGCAAACCCGGAATTCGGACTCTGTGATCACACCTATTCGGTGCGAATGGAATCACAATCGGCTGTGACCAGTCAGGTACCCAAAAAGTAGCCTGATGCCATTTCTGTTGTTTCCTAAAATAATATCCTTTCTGTTGAAAGGGTATCCGAAGAGCCTGGCGTGTCTATGGCCCCTCACCGCTCCCCAGTACTTACTGTGTTCCGAGTGTACCCACTCAGTATGGCTCTCAAAGAGGACCATCATAAATCACAGCATTTTTCAGGTCCCAGAAAGGCAGTTAGCGATCATTCTCGTGCAAGCTCGTCAGTTACCACATTGCCTTCAATTCCACAATGGCCAGATACAGAGGAAGTGTTACCGTGTTTTTGGCTGTCAAAATTTTTAGCATGCCAAAGCAGTGATTTTAGCAGTCAAATGATGGCTGCTTGGCTATAACTGAAAAGATCACTAGAAAGGTGCCCTTCAAACACTTTTCATGGTTTATTGCCCATAGGAATTGCAAGTTTAGTGCTAGTTCCGAAAATACCTGCATCTGCTCTGTCCTCCATCCTTGAACCGTAAGTGTACCAGTGTAGGTATCTGGGATCAGGTTGGAGTGATTTCTAGAAGGTTAGGTTAGGTTAGATTGAAGTGGCCGCCAGTGACCCCACTAGCACACGTAGGCCCTTAGGTTATGGGCCCGTTGTAATACCACACGGATAGTTATAACCCTCCTACTCAATCCATCGTCTGGATTTCGCGAAACCCAGAAGTTGCAGTATTCCTACCTCGGCTACGTCGGTTAGGTCTTCAAAGAATCCTGAACCCATAAACTTTCGTCTTCTTCTACAGAGTGCGGGGCATTCTCATAACAGGTGCCGAAAGGTTTATGGCTCTTCTTCTTTTCTGCAGCTTCTGCGAAAGTCGTTATGGGGGACCCCTAACCTCTCCGCGTACCTTCCGATAGCAACAGACGTACAGCTGCAGCTAGGTCCCTCAACATAAGGAGATCCTTCGACTGCTTTTTGTCCCATTTTGGCCACGTAAGTTTCGTACTGTTGCAAATGGTGAGACTAACCCATCTATCCCTTGCTAGTTTAAGAGATATTTATTATTAAAATGAGCTGGCATGTATCGAAGTATAATGGATGTGCCTTCTCTAGCAAGTCCGTCTGTCTTTTCATTGCCTGGTAACCCATACCAAGTGAAGAGCAGTCTGCTGTGCCATCTCATTTAGAGATTTGCGACAGTCCCTTATGGGTTTTTAACTGCATGTGATAGAATTGAGCGCTTTAAGTGTGGCCCAATGGTTGGCGATGTCGATGTATTTTTTTCATAAAAAAGTACGGTATTTTTGAGTACTGTGGTCAGCGTAGCTGGAGCTCGACTTACGAGAGCATTTTTTTTTTTCTAAAAAAAAATGGCATCGACGTCTACCTCGACAACCATAGTAGTGTGGATTGTTACGTATGACTTCTCTTGCGTGTAGGTGCTCAACCGCCTCCTGTATAGCAGCGACTTCAGCTTGAAAGACGCTGCAGTGGTTGGGTAAGCGTCTTGCTTAGAGCCATCGGTGTTGAGGTATAATGATCAATTTTCATCAGGAGCCCCTCTTGACCAGCATGTTCTGTCTGGAATTGAAATCCTATACCTATTTGTGAAGTTCAGACTTGGTGCACAGTAATCCATGTAAGTTATATTTACGATATTTAGGACTACGGTGTGGCCATCCTAAGTGTCTCTCCAGCCCGGTAGTTCCCTTAGCATCAAGGCGGCACACCCCGCTGATTGTTTACCTACAATTTCAATTGCAAAATATTGATCAGCACGCACATAGCCTCCGCTTTCCAGACAAACTGTCCTAACTCAGACGAGCCTATTTGTCTGACAAAGGTGAGATGGGACAGTATCTCTGACAGCGCTGAGTTAGTACAAAGTTAGGTTAGTTAATCGAGTTAAAATAGTCTTTCGAACGGCGTTAAAGATGGGCTAGATTAACGGCTATCGACCAGTTGATATGAAGTAGCCCGGGCCGTCGATATGGCAAAAGATATTCCGGACGAAATATAGCCTCACAAACTAATTCGACTGTGGAATTAATACCCGCAAGAAGCTAACAATCGTTTACAAACACGCATTTCAAATAATCCAAACTTGTTTCGGTTTTAAGTACATTTCTCTCACGCAATGCGGTAATGCTAAGGAGTTAAGTTAATCCCTTCATCCATTTTGCCGAGTTTTATTTCCTTT